TATAAATAATGTAATGCATTCAAATTGGTTTGCTAATTAAATTTTTGTGAAGATAAAACACAAAAACGTGAGAAATTTAAATATCACTACCTTTAAAAAGTCGACCCCTAATTTTTGAAATTAGGTTCGTCAATCCAGCAATTCACGACAACGCAGCAGAATTTAATGCTCGCTCGCACAGCACATGCTGCCCACAGGCTGCTTTATCGTGATTGCCACTTTCATGGTTCAACAAATAATTTGATTTGAAAGTTGCAATCAATTCAAAGTTTCTAAGCTGGTGGTGTTGCTCAAAGATTGCTTTTTAATTCAACTGACAAACTTTTGTTGAGGCCATCATAAATGTAATCAGTTGTTGCTTTCATCAAGATGTCGAATGTCGGAATTCAACTTCAAACAATTGCTTACAGTAAATGTTTTCCACTGAAGACTTTCTAGTATAATGTTTTCACTACTGCTGCTTTAAGTATAAGATTAGTTATAGAGAATAGTTCCAATTACATTTTATTTAATATCAAAAGATTAGGACTCAATCATCTAAATCATAAGCTCAATTATGATCAATGTTATAAACATACAAATCCTTTAATGTGTGATATTAATTAAAAATAATTTAAGTTAGAAATGTATTTTAATTTTTTAAGGCTCTGCCAAACTAAATACTTGTTAAAATTTTGAGTTATCAAAAATATTATATTTCAAATAAGCAAAATAATATATTCAAACACTCAAATTTATTTTAACTCTCCTTCCTATCGTTTTATCCGTTAAATTTGGCTTTGAACACTAAAAGCATGAAATAAATACACAACACACTCCGAAGTTGGAATCTTATGTCACGAACTCTTTGAACGTTGACATGAAAAAAAAACAAAAAAATTTGTTCTTTGATTTTGAAAGATGCCAATAAAAACTTTTTAATGACAGGCTGGTCAAATTTTTAATGAATATATGACCAAGCGGGTTTTTTAAAAGGTCGGAATTAATCTTTAATAATTTAATCATATTATTGAATTTAAAAAAAAATTCAGCTGAATTTTATTTTATCTTACATAACAATTTTATTTAACAAGTAATTTATAAAATTGGAAAACAACGTTTGAATGGAAGCAACACTGCAGAGGAGTGGAGAAGTTGAGTTGGAAGCCTGGCACGCAAGCAGGTATCTTGGTAATCCAATTATGCTGCAATCATATCTCTTAATATGTGGCATTGGTGCCAAAACAAATTGAAAACATATACTACTTGACATTTCAAGGTTGTTTTATGTCCTTTAGGGAGATGCTGTTTAGTTGAAGCTGTGGGTTTGTATGTCTAGATGAACTTTTGTTATTTGCATGTCTGAATGTGCTTATGTCGGTATATTATGTGGGTTTTGTTGAAGCTGGGTGCGTCTGAATGTTTTTAATTAAAGTTATGTTTGTCTGAATATTTTTTGTTGCCGTATATCTGAGTGTCCTAATGTTAGTGTGATGTATGTCTGAATGTCCTATTGCTAGTGTGGTGTATTTTTGAATGTCCTCTCGTGTATGTCTCGATGTGTTTCTGCTGGAATTGTGTATGTCTCAATGTTTTCTTCATTCGCGGCAGGTGGATGTTCCTCTGAGATTAATTACCTCTAATGAACTACCGGCCATTTTTGCTACATCGTCATTCTCTTATCGCCGCATCCAGTCACTTCTTAAACTGGTTTGCTGGTTTTACAAGTTTTTTTATATTATTCTGTTAAAAAGTTGTTCAAAGAAATGTTTTGTTGCTATGAATATTTTATTGAATGAAGTTTGAGTTTTTCTTAGCCGCGGTAAACTTAAATGTAATAAATTAAAATTAATTGAAATAAAATATAAGCACAGTTAAATAATAAAATTTATTTCCTCTGTGGACGAGAAAAATAATTCAGCAGAATTCAATGCATGTTTCGCAGTTCAGCTTCTTTCATCGTTGTCCCAACGTTTCAACGAGGATTAAATCATGCAACATATTAACGCGCGATATAAAATTTTTATAAAATTGAAGAGATTGGTGAATATTTGAAGTTTTGGTTTTCATTAACAAGTTCGAAAATGAGAGATCGTTGTGCTTTGTGGAAATCTTTCCCTTATGTTATTATTTTAAAATTAACATATTAAAATGATTACTATTTGTTTCATAAATTTTTTGGAAACGATTCTGTACAAATAAATTTTGTTGATGATATCAATAAAACTTCAAGCAACATGGTTAAATCGAAGATTTGTCTCAAGTGACAGATTGGAGGCAAATATTAAAAACTTACAACAATCACACCCAAACTTTTTCTAACCATTTAATTAAATCACAGTTCTCATTATAAAAAATAATAAAAAAAAATTTTGAGTTGGGATTAGGATTAGGTCATGTAACATCTAACAAAAGAACCCATTTCTAATTGTGCCTAATATCTTTATTGAAACGTTGCTCAAAATATTTTTTCTAAAATGTTTTATTTTAAATCAGTTCATCAGACATCATAGTATAACACAAACTATTCAAAAAATCACTGGTTGAGCTGCTTCATATGTTCGGTCTGTTTATGCTGTCTGTTCGGTTTGTTTGTTTATGCTGCTTTTAAGTACTAGAACTGCCTGTTTTCTTGGCTCATTTCGGCGTAAGGTGTCGTGTTTCGTTTTTAGCAGATGAGCTATCGTCAGATCGTCAGTTCAATCATTAGTTCTCTTTCATTTTGCGTCTCCTCTTTCTTCCTCCTGTCTTCTTCACTCACTTTTTTCGTTTGTTTTTATTGCACTGAAATAACACTATTCCACTCAAAGAAACATTGCAGATTGCAATATGGAAGTTCTGTTAAACTTTTATCCATTCACATTAATTAGACTATTTATTTGGTTGTGATACTTATATCATAAGAAATCTAATTTAAGATTTGGAAACGGGCAAAATTCTGTTTCAGAAAAAAATTCATTGAGAGTACATCCTTATTTTAACAACCAGCATAAGAAAAAATTAACTGGAAAATAAAACAATTGTTGACAGAAGCAACACAACATGCAGCCCAACCTTCAAGTGAAATTGCTGTTTAATTCTCAATAAAACAAACATGAATGTGAACATTTTCAATCTATTTTTCATCGCAAATCAATCTCGTACAAATGTTTGCGCTGAGAAATAAATACATTATTATACTCTGGCTATAAAATTTACATTATATAACAAATATAATTTTTAAAAATTCAATTGAAAATTCACGTTAGCTATTATGTTGTGACACAGACAGTACAATAAATTTTATGATGAAACGAGCTGATTTTTAATATAGCTATTTCTAATCATTAAAAAGATTTATTAAATTTTTTGCTGCTTCTTTCAAGAAAAAAAATTATTTTCGTTGATTAGGAACTATTCAAAATAAAACTCTACAATCGATGGTGGATTCCAGTCATAGAAAGACATGCGTTTTTGATTATTAAAATTGCTTTGACAAGCACAATTGTACATTAAAGCGTGGGTGCTTGTGACGGTTTCGATGCATCCGATTTTCCTGCCGTGAAATATTTTTCTTCATTGGTGTTGTTCATCTTTGGAATGCATAGTGTGGCGATCAACGATTTTGTTGAATAATATTTTTTGCTTTGAAAGTAAACATTTGCCAGCGTACGTAGTATGATTGATGGATGGATGCCATGGATGAATGATTGGAAGGTTTTTGCTGGTTGTGCTGTTTGTCAGGCACACCTCACCTTGCCATCATCACGCGCCTGACATCACTATTGATGTGAGTGATAACATTCTCAATGACACGAAGGCCATTGTTGAAGCGAGAAATCATTTCAAACAAATACATTAATGACAAATATGGAAAATCTGAAAACAAATTCAATTATATAAATTAAAAAAATAAAAAAAGCTAAAATTAAGGCACGCAAGACCATCAACCACATCAGCAACAACAACTGCAGCAGCAACAATAACAGCAGCAACAACAACAACAGCAACAAATACAATAACATGAACAGCAAAACACGTTCATCATTCTTACAGCATCATCAACATCAACATCAATCAACCGACAGAAACATTCCAACATCGCTCTGCACCACTTGCATGTAATTCCACTAACTGAACTTATGTTCTGTCTACAAAGCTATCATCATGTTTGTCCCGTTCTTACTTATTGTGTACGATGACTTTTTAGAAAATTTTTTTTGAAAAAATTTTTTGTAACGAAATAATTACTGACTGATGAATGATGAATCTTATCACATTAGCATCTTAATCCTCTTTACGTGGGTATACATATTCATTATATTTATAGTCATCATATCAGAATGAACAGTTGGTTGTTCGATGCTAATTTTGTTGATTTCCGTCGTACTATCATCACCATTATCATCACCCCTCATTATCATCATTATCATCACCCCTCACTATCATCATTATCATCACTCTCTCACTATCATCATTATTATCACTCCCACACTATCATCATTATCATCAAAAACAAATTTATCAACATCTTAGATAAGACATCATCATCGTTAATAACAATGTACGCAGATCACCTCGTTGAAACTTTCATTTCAATCTTATCACTTATCTACCTGGGTAGACAAAAATTTTTTTATTAAAAATTTTTTTTGTTTCTTTATTTTAAATAGATAATTTAATTACATTTATATTTCAATTTCTAAATTGGAAAAGAACTTATTTAAAATTGAAATGTTTCTAATAAATTATTCAGCTTTATTGAATTTTTGTTGAATTTCTAATTTTTAACTTTCTAACTTTTAACTTTTTGGATCAATTTTAAAATAATTAATTTCTGTTTTTACAAAAAATATTTTATATTTTAAAATATTTATAACTAACAATTTAAATGTTATTATATTTCGAATTCAGGTGTTTACATAAATACATAAATTTGAGAGCAGAAATTTTTTTTCGTTTCGTTGTTTTGAACTTGTCTTTCAAATCCTTAACTCGCCCAACCGAAATCTCGCCACGTCAACATTCTGAACGAACAAAAGATGGTTTGAGAGACTCAGCATGACGATCATCTTATTAAACTGCCTCACTCTCGGAATGTATGAGCCCTGCATTGACAGGTTTTTTAAATTTTCAACTTTTAAATTTCAGTCTTAAATTTTGTTTTCTTTGAAAAACATTGCAAAAATAATACGCACCAAACTGATTCATTACATATAAATAAACAGTATCAAACAATCAAACAACAAAAACCACCCATAATGCTGACAGCCTGTGAAATAGTTAAATATTTCTACAGAAAAAGTAAATAGGTGGAAAGCTCTCAGCAAACACATTTGCAAAAACTCTAAGCATTATTGTTTAATTCCTTTTCCATTAACGAGAAGCAATGAGATCAATAGGTGGATCGATGGCGGCATCACAACATCATCGACGTCGTCCGCACAGGCTGTCAATCAAATCGATGCAGCAACCATCCAGGCGGAATCACTGAAGATTCACAATCAGCAGCCACATACAACCCATTAGCAACTGTTACAAACACTTCAGCAGCCACTACAAACACTTCAGCAGCTACTACAAACACTTCAGCAGCTATTCTCTAAGAACTTTCAATACTTTCATTTTGAGAAAAAAATGTCTTCAATAAACTTTCAAACATTACACAAAACCCTGAGCCCACCAACACACACACACACCACACATACACACACGCGCACACACGTACACACACCACACACCTACACACACGCACACAGACCAGTGTGCACAACGACAAAGTGCCACGTCCTTCAGTACTTCGATCACTTCATCTACGCTTTCTTCATCTTCGAGATCAGCGTGAAGATCATCGCCATGGGTTTCATAGGAAAGAACACTTACATGGCCGAGGCGTGGAATGTTCTAGATTTCCTCATCATCATCGCCGGGTTTGTGACTGATGATGATGACAATGATAACGATGATAATTAATAATGTTGATAATGACGACGACGACGATGATGATGTTATTAATGATGATGATGGCGCTGCTAACGATAATGATGATGGTGTTTTTAATGATGATGACGCTGCTAGCGATGATGACGATGATGATGATGATGATAGCAACGGTGATGATGACGATGATTTATGCTGGTAGCAATAATGATAGATAATGTTTACAATTACAACACGGCAAAATGCTTCCTTGATTTATAAACGTGGACGTTTCGTTTTTTGGTGCAAAATAACTTTACAAGCTTTGCGATTTCCATTTGCTGATAAAGTAATGTGATAATGATGATGATGAAAGTAATGGTAATGATGAGGATAATGATGATTATCATGATGCCGGACGTGGTGATGATGATGATGATTGTGGAGATAGTGATGATGGTGATGGCATACTTGCAGCTCTAAACCTAGCATTACAAAATCTATCACACTGAAACAATGCTTGCCTCTTTAAACGAGACAAATATTAATATATTACTGTGTGAACCTTCTGCCCTTAATGTCATGCAAAAGATAATAGAGAGATAGAGATAGATTTAGAAAGAGGAGAGAAAGAGAGAGAAAGAGAAAGAGAACGAAAGAGAGAGAGAGAGAGAGAGAAAGAGAAAGAAAAAAATAAAGAAAAAAGGAGAGAGAAAGAAAAGAGAAAGAGCGTCATCATAAAAATAATTTGAAATTATTAAAACATGTGAGAGAGTTGAGTGAAGTTGTTTATGGCGGGACCATCTGCCGCTCCTCCCTGAGTCACCTCCATAACTCCGACATAACGTCTGCACTGCATCAGCGCTGCATTCTCTCAATATTTCAACATTCCACAGGAAAAATTTAGAAATATTGTTTATGTGCACATAAAAATAATTTCCACTGCTACAGAAATAAAGGCAAACAATTAGAGTAAAAAAAACTACAGGTGAACCGCCATCCTTGCATTCGTTTTGTTCTGTATGCGTGTTTAGCATATTTTTCTATTTTGGTTTACACAAATTTTTATCCAATGAAAGGTTTTACGCATATGGACATTTTAAAATTTTGTTTTAATTTTCAATAGAGACCTATGTGGTAAATTTTATTATTATATTTAGCTGAAGGAAAAAAAAATATTTGGAAATAGAGTTTGCACTATTTCTGTGTGAGTTGTTTGGTTCACTCAGGTTTGAGGCCACGTTGCAAAATTATTGAATTACGACAAATGATATTTTTTTCTGCAAACTTTTAACATTCTTTCTAAACGTTTTTCATTCTTATTAATTAACCAAACAATTCTCGTGAAATCATCATCAGCCAGCATTGCCACTCAAACACCCATCTCTCCATGCGCAATGTAGAAAATGACGTTGTCGTAACATGTTTGGTGCTGGTGAAATTTGAATGAGATAAAAACTAATCACTTAAATGGAGCATTCAATCAAACAATGGAACAATCCCACGGAACGAGAGCATCGCTTATTTGAGGCACGTCCGCAATTAAGATCCAATATCAATTTTCTGTTCTGCTACTATGCAAAATTATTTCCACAAACATCTATCTTCGAGTACATACGAACGCAAATTTTACACTAACACAAGAACATAGAACATTTAAACACACATACGCAAACAAGTTATTTATAAACACACACACAAACAAACACTCACACAAAAAAACACACACACACGCAAACAAACACACACATATATACGTACAAGTTAAAGCCGGTTATACGTTTTCTTGGTACAAACCTTTTAGAGTTCGACCGTAATGATTATGTTGTTTCGTTTGTTAGCTGCTAGGCTTTATAATTTTCAAATTAATGACTTTTTTTACATGAAAGTTTTTTAAATCACGACTTTTAAATATTTAATACGAAAATTTGAATTAGAAAAAGCATAAAACTAATTTGAAAATTATGAAAATTGAAAAAACGAAACCTCATTATTTCATCTTCAGATATTTGTATGTGAGCTTTTTCAATAGAAATATACACAAAACAATCACATGTGTACAAAATCATGCAAAATAAAAAATCAAACTTCACATCTCCCGCCCTGAGTTAGCATATCTACTTCATGCGCACCTATTCATCTCGTACAATTAGAATGTACACGGTCATGAGTTTTTCACACAACTATTACTATTATCATTATTAATTTTATCATCAATGCTAAACTTTGGCTGTGAGTGTGTAAGATGTTAGCGTTACCATCCTAAACATCAGCGACATTGAAGCTCATTAATTCCAACTATAAATATGCCTTGCATTCATATCATTATAAACACATTTTAAAGTTGTCAACATGTCGCTAGAAGTACAAAAAATAAATGTTTAATATTAATTTTTAGGAATATCAATATAAAAGTAGAAATATCGAACTACGATGGTGAAAAGCAAAAAAAGATCAAATTATGAAATATTTTATTTCATATCGGGGAGATTTGAACTCTGAAACCCCTCCCTACTCTGGCTATGCTCAAGAAACACAGACACACAAAAACAGAAAACACATACACACACACTTATGAAACAAACACACAAACAAACAGTGATACACGTACACAACACAGGACCACAGAATACATGGTGGATGACAGTAAGTGGAGTATGTCTGCCATAAGAACCTTTAGAGTGTTGAGACCTCTGCGAGCTATCAACAGAATACCAAGTAGGTGACCATGCAGTAATACATATATGTTGTCGTGGGGCACGCTGTCGTGTGGCGGGCGTGGTGTCGTGTGGCTGGAATTGTATGGTGTGGCGCGGTGTAATGTGGCGTTTTTTATTTTGAAGTTGTGTAGTACAGTAGATTGTCGTTAGAGTGTCGTGTGGTGTTTTTTTTTGCTTCTTACTTTTGTACAAACAAACCTCTGTGTAACATTGCATGTTATAGTTCACTTCGTATTGTTATGAAATGGTTGTGGTAATGTAGTACATGTGTTATGAGGTCCAGTCCTCGTGCAACAAGGTGACGATGTCCTGGAGAGATTGTATGTTGGAATGAAACATGTCAAGAAAGTGACTGACTGACGCGGTATTATGATGTGATTATGTGGGCATCTGATGATGTGATAACACGATTATGGGCTCATTAGAAGATTTTGTTGAAAAATTTACTGTAGCCATGATGTGAATGTGCGGTGATGTGATGGGGTCTTGCTAGTACGTGTTGATGGGCCATTGTTGGGTAATGTGCAACATTCGAGTGATGTGCAACCTTATGGTAATGTACGCTTTTATTGCTGGTAGTCCAAGCAATTTCGTGGCACATTTTGATTTTATTAAATTTAAAAAAAATTTCAACATTTCTGTCAGTGAATTTTAACTAAAATGAAAATTTCATATTTGATTTGGAATAAACCTCGATCAGAAAAAATTATGCTTTACGATAAGATTTTCGGCGAAATGCAAAAGTGCAAAACAAGCGAAAGAAAAGTGACAAATTTCGTGCGACATCCTGCAAAACTTATCTACGATGAGCATTCGTGCAGAGCTAATGTCCTTTCTTAATTTTTAAATGTCTTCTTTTCGGGGCATAACATCATCATCGATGAAGCTAATTAAATCCACACAAAATGGAATAATATTTAATCAGGTGCTCTCTTGCAGTTTCTTCTATTTGCGAGATTTCCAAAATGTCAATAGAATTAGTTTTCTTTAATTTAATATAGAATTTGTAAAAAAAAGTAATATAGATGAGCAGAGCGGAGATTATTGAAAAAATATAAGGGTAGTAGCAGGCAGAAGGCATAACCTCAAGCGTGTAATTAATAATCTCATAATCCCTCATAAGCAGCCCGCTGATAACATGGACCATCCTACCATCATCCTCTGTCCAGGCAGCATGAAAATAATTGACTGATTGTTCTTTTTTATCCTCTTCTCTTCTTCTTTTTTATTCTACAAAATTTTAACAATAATGATAATATTTTATATAATGATTTTTTATTATATTATACGACTAAACAGAGTCACCTAAGATTTTTGGCTTTACACTAAACTTAACGTGGCGTCATTGGTGTAAGAATCGTGTAGAAAAATTTTTTTTTATTGCACATGAATAAACGTTACTTCGTAAAAAGAAGTGTTTATAAATTTTGAAAACGTACTAGAATGAATAATTTTTTAAAACATGTATGAGCAAATTAATGGAATAAATGAATGACATTTTTTTTAAACTTTCAACATTGGTTCAAAATCACTAGTTAAGTTTTCCTCGATGAAATAGAGAACCGTGTGAACGAAGAAAAGCATTATCAATCTCGGAGTTGCATTCTTCGAGCTTGGATGAATTTTATCGATGGTATGGAGTGCGTGCGGCAGTGAAATTTTGAGCAAGCCTCGTTAGTTTTATTAACGTCCGCCACGTTTGCAGTTTATTGTAATCCAGCCATAATATATCCTGATCGTTCATTCTGAAAACTAATTTCATACCTTCAAATTCTGCGATGTAATTTAATCTACTTGCTGTTGATGTTATCGTTGAATTTTAATGAAATCGATCAAACATGGTGTTTCATTAAGCTCCCACGTGTCTGGACTTTCAGACATGTAATGAGATGACAATCAACCAAAGGAGACATTCAGCATTCAAAAAATCATCGTTTTAAAGTTGTAAAACATATTGTCAATGCTCTATAAACTTTAACATTTTATTATTTTACTGCTCAGCATTTCAAACTTTTTTGAAACTTTTAACATCTAGGAATTAGGCACTTGAAAATAAAATTATTCATTTGAAATTTAATTTAACAACTAATTAAACAAAAAATTATACAAATCTTTAATTGAAAATTAAAAAAAAACATGTGTAAAGAATTTTAAAAAATCATTCATTAAACTCAGGTAAATCTATAATTCAGTTTTGTCGATTAATTTCTAATTTAATATTTTAATAATTTAAAATTTAATTAGGTAGTAGAGATGACAGCTTCAGTCGTCAACTTAGAGAAAAATTGAAAAATGACAATAATGAAAAAGTAGATTACTTTTTTCAAACACACCATAATATCAAACATCAACAAAGACAAAAATATGGCATCGAAAAAATTTTTTTAAAAATTTGATTAAATAAATAAAAAAGATATTGTATATTGTAACAAACGAATGATACAAAAAATAGCTGAAATGTATGAGATGTTAGCAAATATTGAAACTAATTACCCAAACCTAATTTATTGAAATTAATGACATTTCACTAACAACTACACTACTACCAGGTATGCGAATCTTAGTGATGTTGCTGCTAGACACGATGCCTATGTTGGGCAATGTTTTGCTGCTCTGCTTCTTTGTCTTCTTCATCTTTGGCATCGTCGGAGTCCAGTTGTGGTCAGGCCTGCTCAGGAACAGATGTTTCCTCAACCTACCTCCTAACGTGTCAACTGGAGAGTTAGTGTCATTGTTCAGCATCTTATAAAATTAATTTTATAAATATTGTAGATATTTTATCATGTTAAATTTATTGCCCGTATTTATTTATGTCTGTTATTAATTGTAGTAGTGTGGTAGTTACTACTCCATTACACCGCATACTGAAAGAAACAAACAGACGCATTGTCATCTTCCCGATAACGTATTTCCTCTTGCCTGATTGATGTTTCCTCATTAAAAATTTAAATCTGCAATCTTGATAGCGCCGTGTCGTTTGGCAAACATATTTCATTTTTGCAGGGTATCTTGTAGGCAACAGACAGACATATCACGTTGCAGCTGTTAGTTTTTGAAGCAGGCGAATGTGAAACAAAAGGCAGATAACGATTACTTCTTTATCTTAGTGAAAAGTAAATTGAATTTAAAGTGCTTGTAGTGCAAAATAGCGCTCTTGGTAGGACATTTAAAACAAACATCTTTTATTGATACGATAATAAAAAACAATTTTTCAACTGTACGATTCAACCAAACTTAAGCAATTTTTCAAAGTTACTCAACATCTATAATTCATTTTGATCGAAAAGGCGCGAAACAATTCTTATTTGGTTGTAAAATGTTTACATTATAAAAAGGTCATTTGTGAAATGTTTTTAGGCTATTCAGTTTCAACTAACTCAATTTTGTTTTTTAAGCATTTTATTTCAATTGTTTCATTCGATTGAAATATTTTACCCTCGCAAACATTTTGATGGGTTATGAATTACGACAAAATAAACAAATATGTATCACACGCTTATTTTACAAAGAGACAAACGATGTCAGTTGCTTATTTTAAAATAAGTTGCTCTGTATTGTATACACACCACTCCTACATTAGCTTCTAACAGACAAACCTCCAGCAAAATTATAAGCTAATCATAATTAAGAAAGACTGGCTGTTGTTGATGAAAACATCGAAACACCAAATATCGTTGACGAGTGAAGCAATACGCAACAAACTTCATATGCGGCAGATGGATGTACCTCTGGGATTAATTACCTCTAATGAACACTACCAGCCATTTCTGCTACATCATCATTCTATTATTGCTGCATCCAGTCACTTCTTAAGCTGATTTGTTGGTTTTACAGGTGTTTTTTTGTATTATTCTGTTAGAATGTTGTTCAAAGAAATGTTTTGTTGCTATGATCTTTGTTTAGCCGCGGTAACCTAAAACGTAGTAAATTACAATTAATTGAAATCAAATATAAACATAATCAAATATTAAAATTTATTTACTCTGTGGGCGAAACAATAATTCAGCAGAATTCAATTCATGTTTGCTGCTTGGCAATCTTTTAAAAAAAAATTCTATTTGTTACTACGGTAATGATGATAATAATGATGATGAAAATGATGAGGATGAATATGACTGAAATTTCAGTGATGATGTGTTCAATAATAATAATAAGCTGGATAGTGAACGTGTCTTTGATGCGTTTGGAAGTTGGAAACACATGAAAATTCAATAATTAGATTCGTTGTTTAGACATCCAACGTTATAAATATTGATATCATGTTTTTTCCTTAATTTCGTTTCGTTTAAAACATAGTTTAACGATGTAAAAGTACAAAAAATTGTCAAAATAATGTTTTGAGTGGTGGCTAGGAATTAAATGCGAAGATATCAGTGCTAAGGCGTTTGGATCGACCGGCAATAACTCTGTTGTTGCAATCAATAACTGTCCCATAATTAAAGTGGTAGGTATTCATTCTACACTCCACACGTATGCTTACTTGCTTGCCTGCATGCCTGCCTACATCTACTCTATTTATCTATTTATCTATAAGTATGTATGTATGTGCCTGTATAAGTTTTTGAGCAACACATAAATACATATTTGTCTGTCTGTATGATAGTTGACAACAAAGGCACACACACGCTTGAATATAAGTATATGCATTTGAATGAATTTTTGAAGGAAGCTTTCCAAAAATTTTACTTCGTCGTTTTCAAGTTATGTTTCCAAAATGAAATGATTATTTTTGGAAGGATGGATAATTACTGCTTTTCCTACGGCAAACAAATAACTTTTATAATTTATTTCAGCGACGAAAGAAAAATAAATACACTGCATTTAATGAATATCTAATGCGAAATGTGTGATATGAAGTTATAAGAAGATATGTGGATGATGATTTACGACGCGGCATTATTTCACGAAATGTAGCGACAAAATTACTTGGAGCGGTAATTATATGAGATTATTATTCAGATGGATGTTTCTCACATGCGTGAATGTTCTGTGTTGTTGCTGCTTGCTGTTGTTGCAACTCACTAGGTGTTGTTGACGTCGTGTGTCCGACACATAATTTCCCGCGTAGGATAATGTAATATATGAACAGTTTTTAGAGGAAAAAAACATTTTATGCAAAAATGCAAGTTTATACTTGCTTGTATGTTCACTTGTTCATACGTTTGCAAATTAGTTAATGTGAAGTTGCATGTGAAGTTGTACCGCGGAGAATGTTTAACCGGTGGTCGTGAGTTATGCCGATGATGTGAGGCTTATGTGTATAAAACAGCAGAATCTAATCAGTAAACATATTACATTACGACAAAAAACAACACGATAAATGTTTGGCAAGGAAAATGCTGAAATATAATTTTTTGTTCTGCGATAGAGGTCACGCAAACTCTGATTGATTTATTATTTCGAATGTTTATATTTTTTATTTCATGTTATTGTTTTTCCACGGAAGAATACTTTGTTTTTCCATTTGGAATATGAAAAAATTAATAAGCTCAATGAAAGGTGACTTTGTTAGCTTGTATTCTTCGCATTGAAAAAGTTGCACTGTTTGGTGATGTCAGACCAGTAAAGTTTGGTGCATTGTTTAATGAAGTTTGTGAAAGTCAGCTTACATATTGCAGGTCATAAAATATGACTGGAGGTGTGCAAGTCACGACATGCGGATACATTTGAAGAACTTGCTAACAGAATGCCTGTAACTGAGCAATCTCACGTTCTTAAACAACACCTATGTCAATCCATGACACAAACCTATTTGTAGGCATACATTTTAATTAAATTCTATACGTAAATGTGCTGGCACTTTCATCAATTTGTTTCATTCAAATATTTGTTGCTTTTTATTATTTCAAACATTTAAATAAAAGTTAAATGAAAATGTTACCAATCTTTGTAACATTAATTTGTTGATTATTGATTATAAAAGTGAAATAAAACGATGCTTTTTAAACAGACAATGCAATTTTTCCAAATACATAAGCATTTATAAAAACGTTCAGCCCTGTTTTATCATCACACATTTCGGCAAACACTTCCTCTCACAAGTTTAGAGTCGATAAATGCAAACGTAAAACAGAGAGAGATCACACAGTTCCTTTTTTTCTCAATTTTCTGTCCTGTCTGTCGCAGCGTTTCCTATTCATCTGTCTTAATGAGAATGAACAGATCAACGCACGTGAAAGTAAACCCATGAACACATACGCTAGCACAGACTCACACAGACATACACGTGTCACACATATACAGACTCACACAGACATACACGTGTCACACATATACATATACGTATAACTGTATATGTATGTATATATATATATATATATATATATATATATATATATATATATACACACATTCGAGAACAACGCGTTTTTAAACAAATATACATCCTTGCCAGTAGACCCGGAGATTTGATGAGTCACAATACTAATTAATTTCCCAACCTTCTAATTAAATTAACTAAAATGTCACAAGAGTTTCATAAAATGGCACTTCAGTAGGTAACGATTGAAATATGCGAAAAATACAATGAATAAAATCATAAAAAATAGTGTAAAGGTATTAACATAAAGATATTTGTTTGATAAAATTCTAATTTTCTTAGCTTTTTTAGCTAAGATTCATATTAAAATTCATTGTTGAACACAAATACGAACGATTGTTTATGAAACTTAAAGTTAAAATGAGGTTCTCATGTTCCTCTTAACTAACTTTTATTGTTTTTAAAGTCAAACTTATTTACAAAAACAGTCGATAAATGGAAAATATTTTTTTCAGCCTCCTCCTTCCGGATCCGTACTCTGGACCCAACGAGGAAGATTTCATCTGCAGCAAACCTTCAGACGAAGGAATGACCAAATGCTCGGAAATTCCAAACTTTGTCTTTGAAGGCATAACGTGCAACGAAACGGCCGTACCCAATTACAATTTAACTCTTCTGCCAAACGGTTTCTGCGTTAACTGGAACCAGTACTACTCGAGTTGCAAGACCGGTCTGAGCAACCCATTCAAGGGCTCAATCTCCTTCGACAATATCGGATTGGCCTGGGTTGCCATCTTTCAGGTTCGTTCATAATTTTTTTACATCTTCTTCAATAATCAATTTTCATGTAGTTGCTTTTTCAACGGTTTGAATTTCAACTGTTGAAAAATTAAAAAGTCTATACCAAGATAATCTTGCACAAAATTGAAAAAATTATTTTCATGGAATTGATAGTTATAGTTAGTTGTAGTTAACAAAGTTTAAATAATAATGAGTTTATATACAAAAACATTTACTCACACATATATTTACACATTAAAATAAAATTACTCTACTTAATCTTTCTTTTTTCAGCAGACTTGTAAACACATCGTTGGATGTATGTGAAAAAATATTTACAAATTTTTACCCAATCGTTTATGAATGTTTTGAAGACCGCCAACATTTATTCACACACTTAGGAAACGTGTGCCCATTAAAGTCAATCTCATTTTCACACGTACACGCACACAAACGTAGAGAATATGAAATTCACAAATTAAAAAAAAATTTCCTGATTACCTTGATATAAAAGCGTATGTTGAAAAAGCGTGAGCGATATGAAAAGTTTACATGCATGTCATCATAATCTTGAATGACAAACGCTTTCAAACACTACGCAATTAATCCCTTCTCTGATTGAGAATATGTTTTTAATGCTTCGCTTTGCTAAATACGCACGTTGTAAAATATCGTTTTGATAAATATTGCATGAGCGTCGCAGCATTACGCGTGAGAGGGTTTACGATTTTTTAATATTTTACCAACAATCGTGTAATCCAGGAAAAAAAATTCTGCAGACGATCAAAAAATTAATTGAACGTATTTCTGTTTATTTTCAATTTTTTTGTTTGTTAGTGTCATTTGTGCTTTTAAAAACTTTATGAAAAAAATTTTCCTAGACTTGAATTATATTTAATAAAATAAATTCTGATTGTACACTACGCAATAGCGCGCAAAGCAGTTGTCAGGAAAAAAATACATGACTAAAGACAGAATTTTTTCAGGAAAAATTTTTCTAAACCTGCGTTGAGTATTTGTATGAATTGAAAATAAAAATCTAGTTAGAGTTAAATGTTTGACAGCTTGAGGTGATTCATTGCTGCACAGGTTCAGTTAACAATAATGTTACTAATTAATGTATCATGAATCTAAATTTTTTTGTTACAATCATCTAATAATTATAATTATTTCGTTAAAATTATTTTTCCAATATTTTCTAGAGGCAACAACAACAAACACAACGCTCACATAAGTACACATGAAATAACACATCACGCACATTGCATGTGATAGTTGGAGATCTCTTCGCAATCGAATCCTATCACTGCAATAAAAGTGACCGACACTTTTCCGTTACACCATCCAATAAATGAATAAATTTATTTTCAATAGTTCTTTGACTCAGTTACGGGATTCAACAAAAAAGCTATTCACACTTTTTGACAGTTCATTCAATAATAATAATACCATTGTGATAGATAAAATTTTTCAACATTTTTTAGCTGAAGATATAATGAAGAAAAAAATATATAAAAACGTATAAAAATTATTGATTTATACATATATGTCCTGTACTGTACACATAAATTATATATAAATATATGTACATTATAAATATATATATATACATTATACATACATCATGCATATAATGTATGTACATTATACATATATATATATATATATATATACATAATAAATTATATATACATATATAAGTTGCGTGTTTTAAGAATAGATTTCTCCCAAGTTGGATTTTTTTAGTGCGGACAGCTGCCAAATTTTTTTCCATATGACAACTGTTTTTTTCCTCGTTTTCCTTCTAAAAGTCAATTAAAAGGCTGCATAAAAATTTAAATGGAGATTAAGTCCTGTCAGGTCTTACTTATTTTGCTGTTATAACGCAAACAGTAAAAGTCGGAGCGCTTTGACAATGTGGCAATACTTCGTGTGATGTTATGGCGGTATATTATGGTGACATGATGTATTGATGTGATTTTGTGCATGATCCATGTTTGATCATTTGGTGTAATACATGAAATGTTGAACGTTTGAAATATTGCTGCATTGATGTAGTGTCATGTTTTGGTGAGGTTATTTCATGCTGGGTGCTGCGGTATGTTGATGTGATTTCGTGAGTTGTGTTGTTCTCAATGAAATATTATCGTGATAAGATTATCCGATTTTACGTAACTTGTTATCATATAATGATATATTAATCACTATCTTAAGATGATATCATAAAATGTGTTGAGATATGGTGATAAAGTTATGATACGGTGATATGTTGAAGTCGTAATATGTTCTGTTTTGTTTGTGTGGGAAAATATTATTTAAGATCCCTTCATGAATTTGATGTGCCAAGTTTTAACCATGGATGGATATAATGTTTCCATGGTTTCAACGTTATAATATCATGCCGTAGTGTCAAGTTTTGTTATATTTTATCACAATACCAATTGGTGATAACCTTAAATAGCAAAAGTTTCCTTGCATGGTGGAGAAATTGTTACGGCTTTTGGAATCACTTGATGTCATATGATGTTATGATGTAATGTAGGAATGTGCTGTAGGAATGTATGATGTAGGGATGTGATGACGTGTGGAGGTGTTGATTGGGATGAAACAATTCATGACGGTTTCATTACGCCAGTTGATTAGTGTTATTGCTTTTTTCGCCTTTGTTTCGAAAATAGTTTTCTGCTGTATTTAGTTTTTTTTTTTGTATTTATTAACGGATGTTTTTAACAAAGCATGTCATTAAAAGAGAGTTTTTGATATAATTATAATTATTTATTGTTAATATAATTTTATCTACTAAATTTCACCTAATATTATTTAAGTTAATTATTACAAATTTATCAAGTAGTCAAAACAAGAAAATAAACACATTTTTCAAAAAAAGAGATTGTTTTGTTCATGTAAAAACAATGTACAAAGTAAAAATTTAATAACATCCTTCACCTTTATTTTATAATCACAAACTGTATACTAATTGAATTTGCGTAACAGTAAGTTTAGATTTTAATAAATAAGTTTTGATTTTGACTTTGAAACGTTTGCTGTTATTTGAAGTATACTAGCAAGCGATTTATCTACTTGTCTTCACGTGTCTGCATTTCAATCGAGCCAGCCTTCTGAGAAACCATTCAGTTCAGATGGGTCGTCCATCTAATAAACTCCCATTGAAACCTCTACTACGAGTATTTCTTGAATCGTTCAACAAATGGTTTTGCTTGCTTCAGTTTTGTAGCTTTTGTGAAATATTTTTATGAAACTTTTATGTAAGCAGACGTTTATGTTTGTTTAATTTTAAGTGAATAAAGTAGGAAAGGCATTCAGATTTGAAACTCAGAAAAATTTGACAGTAAAGAAATAAAATTTGATAAACGTTTTGAAACGTGTCTAAAAATTAGTTTTAGGAATTTTATAAGTTTTACTAAAGATTTTTATTTTGCTCAACCTACGTTATTTTTATATTTAAAATATAAAATCAACAAATTCTGAAATTGTGGTTTTGTGGGGTTAGATTGAAAAAAACAAATTGCTATAAACATCATCAGAAAGTTTTTTCCGTGGTACGTCTGATAACATTTGAAGACGTGAATCTTGCAGATTGCGTACAACGTAGGACAGAGGTTTCATGTTAAACGCATTAGCGCTGGCATTACAACCAGACGCTACCCTCACTTTTATTGCTCTCTTCATTTGCCATTTTAAGAATTGACGCCGTGTTTGAGATTTGCATAAATTCATTTTATAGATGAAACGGCCTAAGAAATGATGCACACATTGATGGCATTCGGAACTTGAATAAATAGCGTATGTCTGTGCGTATGTCTGTGCGTGTGTATGTGCGTATGAGTGTGCGTGTGTGTGTGCGTAATAGTTTTTTATTAGAGGTGTTAGTATAATAATTGTTTTGTAAACAATTTATCTGAAAAGTTAATTGAAATAAATCAACAACATAATCTCATATGACAAGTTCAACGGATGCTACTTTCACTTATGAAATTGTTAGTCTTTCATGCTCCCCCTATATAAATGTTATTTTAAAGTTACTGGCTAATATTTTTAATGTGGAGACATTTAATTCATGTAACCATTTGGCCTGCAATGTCGTCTGGCAGGTCAGCGTTCCAATGCGGAACTAATCGCCTAATGCTTTTTGTAATATGCCTTATTCAAATTAAATTAAACCTAAGAAGCTATGAAACAAATATTTAAAAACAAAACTCATCATAATAATGTTTACTCGTAAATAAACTTTCAACTGAAATAGACGATTAAAATTAAATTATTCACAGTAGTAAAGTTTATCTACAAAAATGAAGATTATTATCTCGAAGCAACATTTACAAAAAATGAACGGATCAATCAGCCTGAGGCCAAGCGATGCCTGAAAAGTCTTAATTAACTTTGACATTAATTGTTAAAAAGTTATGGAATGACATAACAAACACTATAATTAGTGTTTGTTATGTCATTCCATAACTTTTTTCAGAAGAACTGTTTTTAAAATAAAAAATAGATTGCTTCACATATATCAATGTTTATTTTTTTCTGAAAAATGTTAAAAAAACTAACAATTGTTTATATAGGTATGAAATCGTCTGTTAAAATATGTGTTTCAAAAAATATTTGATCTTTGTACTGTTTAAAATTTTTTAAAATAATTTGTGGATTTTTTTTCAAGGGTAAAAATTTGTGCGATTAACTCAAATAAGAAAACACATCTGGCTAATAATGATTAACCAATAATAAAAAAAAATTATTTTCTAATCATTAATTAACTTATTTTTATTTCTTTCAACAATTTATTCGTTAATTTCCCATTTTCTGCAATGCATAAATGATGTTGATCAGAAAAACCTTAAAAATGCCTGCGGCTGGTCAGCATGCAAACTTGCAATGTGGAGTGGACATTGGCAGTTTGATGCATGCAAGTAAAAAGTGGAAGAACTTTGTAAGAATGGGATTGATTATATCAATGATCATTCTATCGCCTGTCCGTCGCTTAGGTTCGCAAGAAGGATGTGTCGTTTTCAAAGCGCGTTATAAAAAATTTTTTCTATTTGAAGTCGTCTGTCACAACTTCTACAAAAATGGTTTGTCGTCATCGTATTGAGAATTTTGTTAACTTCCAAAAATATTAACCGTAGTTTCCGTTCGTCACGCATTTAGAAAAACATTTTATTTAAAAAATTTAGCATTTTATTTTGTTTCTAAATTTGCTCTAGATTTTACTGTTCAGTTTAATTAGCATATGGTTATTGATAAATATCATTGTATTTTATAATGACTTGTACTCTAATTTAAATACATCTATGTCATATGAACTTTTTTCTTGAAGATTGTTCTGTGATGAATTCATATTTGTAATGAAGGTTTCTAACAATATATCCAACAGTATCTATACCTAACAAGTATATCTATAAGATTGTACTCTGATGAATTCATATTTAAAATGTATCTAACCAAATATCCAAAAGTATATCTAACAAGATTTAAGATTTTTTTTATAAGTGATAACTATAAAATAAAATGAAAAACCTAATTTATTTTATTCCTCGCCTTTACAATATCTGATAACGTAGATTGATGATAGGTAGCGATTGATTATATTATTAATTTTGAAATGGCGTTATGAGTCGTTGAAGCATGTGATGTCCATTCAGGTCATCAGTTTGGAAGGCTGGGTGGACATAATGTATTACATACAAGATGCTCATTCGTTTTGGGACTGGATGTACTTTGTGGCACTCATTGTCGTTAGTCATCATTGTTTCTGTCCTTTTTCGTCTTACTTAATGTCTTTGTCTTTTTATGTCGTCGTTGTTAATGTTGTTGATGTTGTTGTTGAAGATGTTGCGTTGTTGTTGTTATAGTTTTTGTTGAAGATGTTGCGTTGTTGTTGTTATAGTTTTTGTTCTTTATCGTTTTTTTTTTTTTTTTTTTGTTCTCTCCGCATGTTCTGGCATGCGTAAAGCATCGTTCACTGACAGTTTGTGTTTTGTTTTTTCTGTAGAGCTTTTGTAGGATGTATGGTGAAAAAATGTTGAGATTTTATATTCTTACTTATCTCTTCTAAGTATTGGTTTCGCTTTTTCTTATCTAAACAGCCACTACTAATAAAACTTTATTTTGATTACGGAATGACACCAAATCATGTAAATTTGTGTGTGTGTGTAATAATGTGTGTGTGTGTGTGATAGAGAAAAAAAGAGAGAGAGAGAGAGAGTTTAAGAGTTTATGTGTGTGTTGCGTGCATTTATGTTTGTGTGTATGTGTGTTATTTTGTTCTTGTAACAGTAGACTATTGTACTATTGACGAACTCAAGAATGCAGGTGTGTAGCAAGAATGCAACATAATCATAATCATCAATGAGCATTTTTTATGAGGGGTTTTTTTGCTTTTATCATCACTGTCTTAACTGTCATCATATTTCACAGTTTATGAACAGTTTTAACTATCCGGGACTTTTTTTTAACTTCAAATAAACTTTGCTCCACTGCATTCTTTTTTATTTGCATACAATGATTTTGATTTCATGCAAACTTTGACAAAAATTTTAAATGTATTTTGATCGTTTAAAAGTTTGTTTAAGGTGATTTTTAACCAGCTGTTAATTTCGCCAACCAACTAACAATAGAAAAGCTTCAGCATTGTTAAGTATATGAACAAGTACTTACTCAAACATTCAATCATTTTTCATCAATTCAATCAGCCGAGTTATTTTATTTACAATTACAATTTTTATTAAATGTTATTTGTTTTATGAATAGTATTATTTTTACCTTTGAATGCTTCTAATATTAATCTTTTCTTGGTAAAAATTCGGTTTTGAGAGATTTTATAAAGTATATGTCTTATTCGAATGTATCAGAAAAAAAGAATTACAGTTTGTTTCAAATTTGTGCAATTCTGGCTTCATAAAACATTGGTAAAAATTAATTTAAAAAATATAAAGTAGAAAAGAATTAATAATGAAACTATCGGTTGTTGATACGCTATACATTTTGTAAAAAAGCAAATTATCGCGCGAACTTTCTCTATAGCCTTGGCCCCCCATGCTCTTCACTGTGAAGCTGCAATATATAATGGGCTTGTCGAATGATTTTTTTGAGTGATGATTTCGTTTTATTTGGTCATTTTTCATTCTCCATCGAAACTTCTGACAGGTTGCATTAGCCCGCAGGCCACAGGCTCTCAGATAGCTAGCTACTTTTATATTTTCATACACCACGTATGCGTTATGCTGCTTTGTGGGGTTTTTAAAATAATTTATTGAATTCTTCCGGCTTTGTATTTGTATTTAGATATTAAAAATTCATACATTTGTAAGCAGATTTTATTAAAAACTATATATAGACTTTCACAAGAAATGTTTTATTTCGTGATTTTTTCGTATTCTCTCAGCTTTCTTTTTCTCTTAAGCTGGCGGCTCTGTAAACAAAAAATTTAATTTTTGAACAATTTAAACAATAAAACTGAACAATAAAAATTATTTACAGATTGTTGCTGCTTTTTTAAATTATTTCGATAAAAAGGTTGAATAAAAAATAATTATAATCTTCATATTATATAAAATTTAAAATTTATTGATTCAATATTATACAGGTGTCAGTAAAAATACAATCCAAGTAATATTGGATTGATGGCACACTGTTACGAGTGGACCTCTTATTTTACATGCCATTTTAAATTGCATCGTTATTTTCAAGCCATTTTCATGTGATTTCGTTGAAAACGCATTTCGAAACTATTTAAAATAGTCTAACGACAGCCTCATTTATTAATGTAATTCTTAATGTGATGTTTTAACAAAGCACGATAAACGACTCTAGCATGTGTTGTAGTTGCGTCCTTTGAAGCTTAACATCATGTTGTCCTGGTGAATTGATAGCCGGGATTTCGACCATTATTGCTTTTCTTTTTCAACTCTCTGCTCAGATGTTTGATGTAATGTCAGAGATATTCTTTTCACTTTTTGTTGTTTAGTTTGCGGGAGGTTTCAACTGTTTGTAAAATGATAAAAAGTTTTGTCTTTTGAGTTATTTATAAAGATAAATCTGAACAGAAGTTTTCAACATATTTGAAACAAAATTTTATATTAATTTTACACACAGAATAATTTTCTGTAATGGGAATGTCGTAAATGGTTATAAAAACCATGTAGCTTAGCCACAAATTTACTTTAGGATTCGGGAGCTTAGAATTGTCAAAACAATTGCTTCCGTCAACCCATATTTTTTTAGTTATTACCATGCCAAGACATCCTTTCAATAATTTCTTGTTTTTATGAAAAAATAAATTTATATAAACAGAGAAAAAAAATATATGACCCCACGGCATAATCATTTCGCTATGCATTTTTAAAAAACTGTTAATTTTCATTTAATTCCCACGTCTGTGCGTAATTTGAAATCATGATGTTCATGGCGTATAACATATAATGTAAATAATAATTATGGTTTAGGAAGTTTTATTACGTAAATGCAAATAAGTGAAGATATTATCACAAATTTCAGTTTACCAGAGCTACTAGAAAAAAATTGAACGTTTTCGGATGAAAAGATCAAGATTTCTGAAAATTTAAATAAGTGACTAGGACCATCGCATAGGTTTTTGAAGTAATTTTCTTTCATAGCATGGGGTTCCATCGTGTTGTACTTGTGTTTCATTTAATCATATGATGAAATTAGTAACAAAATATGTATTTAAATGACTTTTCACAAATATAATTGAATGCTACTTTTAATACTGTGAAATACCAAGGATGTTCCTATTACTATTGTAATTTGTAGTAAAATATTTTAGCAGAAAAATTTGTATCAGGTCTTAGCAGTCAAAAAGCTAATACAGTTAAACCTTCGTATAACGAACTTGATGGTTCCAAGAAAAAAATTCGTTATATAGAAATTGCGTTATATGGAATTTGTTTTGGAAAATTCTATATTGCCTATCATCTTTTCAATGTTTATTTGTCTTTTTTAATCAATCAGGCATACAAATGTTGGCATAGTTGCAAAGTTTTGCCATGTGAAACTTTTGTCGTTGGAAATACTAACATGTAATTGTCATTAAATAAGGTCCTGCAAACATTCAATCTATCTTCCTTGGTATATATTTGCATTTCGCCCATTTATATAATCAAATAATTTTTGAAAAGTTTCATCATAAAAAATGTGACAGTTAATTGCTAGATGTAAGCATTAAGCAAGTCGAGTTATAACGTGATGAAAATATTTTAAATGTGATTACATTCAGATGACAGGCCGTGTGGAAGTGAAAGGCTGCATCCTATAATAAATAAACGATAAGAGAAAAGATGTATATATAAATTTATGTATGTATGTGATCTCTCTCTCTCTCTCTCTCTCTCTCTTTCTCTCTATCTCTTTCTCTCTCTTTCTGTGCCTTTGTCTCTGTGTGTGTATGTATCTGTGAGTTTGTGTGTGTGGTGTATGTGTGTGTGCGCGCGCGCGTGTGTTTAAGAGAATAAATAGCAGACGGAGGCGATAAGAAAATAGATGTTGTTAGGCGTAGATAACAAATCACAATGCTGATGATGCAAATATTTTGTTCAACGGGGCTGGTGTGTGACGGGACATGACCGTGCCTGTGAAGGTTGGTGTCCTCAGGTAAACAACAATGCCATAAATATGCTCTCTCTCTCTCTCTCTCTCTCTCTCTCTTTTTCTCATCACTTTCTCTCTCTTGTTTTCTCTCTCTCTCTCCTCTTTCTCTCTCTCTCTCTCTCTCTCTTTTTCTCATCACTTTCTCTCTCTTGTTTTCTCTCTCTCTCTCTCTCTCCTCTCTCTCTCTCTCTCTCTCTCTCTCTCTCTCTCTCTCTCTCTCTCTCTCTCTCTCTCTGGCTGTGTGGGTGTGAGAGAAAGAGTGCTTGAATGTGTGCGTTTGCGTGTGTTTATGTGGTTGTAAGATGAAAAACTAGATGGAGGCGATATATTTATTCATTAATTTATTGATTCATTATCGGTTTATTTAGTTTATATTTATTCATATTGTTATTTTTTTTACTTATTTAGCCATTCATTTTTCGACATATGTAGGTGTATATAGCATTCAAAAAACAAAATGTATCACATCGGTTGTTAGGAATGAAGAATGCACGTTTTATAAACTTCAAATTGGCACGTTGACAAATAGATGTTAATATTTCTGTACGAGTCACGAAGTAATACTAACTGTTGGAAATAATAAAAATTTGTACCTAAGCCACCGGCACGCCAAATAATGTGCACCATCCCAGGTGTACCTGGTGGCATTTTAATTGGAAACAGCATGTACAAGAAGTTATAATTTTTCAAATAAATTAAAATTCCACACGAAATTGTCGTTATTATAATTTTTTTTTATTTTCCAAGATTATCCGTATTTGTTTGAAATAACAAAAAGGGTTTCTTCAAAAAATTTATGAATTTGGTTTTGTCATTTGTGTTGCTATTTGTCAACTCAATTAAACTTATTCTGCATTCATGTCATTTTAAAAACTATTCATTTTATGAATAAGAATAGGAGAAGAGGCAAAATCGTTTTATTATAACCATGATTATAACGTTGGTTTATCGTCGTCAAATGAGTGGACAAACATTAATCACATGAGTAAACTTTGTTCACTGACTACATCGCTTGTCGGATGTGTTGATCAATCGCCCACCTCATGCTCATTACACAACGACCGCTGGGTATAACAAATAGTTTCGCACGTGGCAACTGATACTTCTCTCTCCAGCTCGTTCAGTTGTTTATTTTCTGTTAAAACGTTCTGATTGATGTATATTTCAAACTCTGACGTTCCAGGGTACTGTTACTTATGGGTAAATGAGCTAATTCGAATAACTGATTTATAAGCTGTCCACGTAAGCTAGCTTTCCTGCATGTCAACATTTCTTTTTCTTCTGAAAGTAACTTTTCGAAAAAATGTAAGACCTTCTCAGACTGAAATTCTTAGAAATAATTTTTATTTTCATTTAGAATGAATGATTATTAATTTGTATTGGCTGGTCTCTAACAGGTTTAACATGCTTAATGAATGTTTGGGCTGGGTGGCCCTGCAAGCCCAGGCTGGGGTTTCCTAGTAAATAACATTAGTTGTTAACAAGAGTTGATTTGCTAAATAATCTTTATTGAATTAAATTAAATTTAACAGATATTTCTAAAAAAATTTATTTGTAAAATTTTAAAATATTATCCTTAATTATTTAAATTTTAATTTTTCCTTACAAATTCCTATGAATTTTTTAAAATTTAAAAATAATCACAAAAACTTAGTATTCAAAAAATGAGAACAAATTTAACTATTTACATTTCTGATTGTATCTCCAGATAATTAAATTTTTCAGATTGGTGCATTTTTTATGATCAACCTCTGCCTGGTCGTCATAGCAACACAATTTGCAGAGACGAAAAAGAGGGAGACAGAGAAGATGATCCAAGAAAGGATGTACCAGAGGTCGAGTAACAGTAGTAGCAGCTTAGATGCAAGTGATGGAGAGCCAGTTGGATGCTATTTGCAGGTTTTCTTCATTAATTATCTTTCAATGCTTTTCTGCTTCTGACGAGGACTGCACGGTACTGATTTGATGAAGCCCACCTAACTAAAAATTCAAAACAGTGTTGGAGATCATTTTGTAGGACATATTTTATTGTAGTCTTTGCTCATTGCGATGAAGTGTTTTCATTGTATTTCATTTATTTTGATTTTAAACATTTATTTATTTTCATTGCAGTTAATAAGGTGCATTGCACATTCCTTGCGCAAAAATTATCGCAAGACAAGAAAATGTATACAGACAACCATCGTTCAGCCATTAAAGAAAAGATTCTGCAGTCACTTCAATGGTGAGGAGGAGGAAAATAATGATGAAAATAATGAGAGATGCAAATCAAAGAAGAAGTCTAAATTTAGACATTCTAAATGCAAAAATTGTTGCTGCTGCTTAAAAAAGAAGAAAATTATTCCGACAGTTGCACCATCATCAAATTGTTATGGAGTTCACGAGAACATTAATCATGATGGCAATGCATTTTGTCGAGGTGACAAATAATTGTTTACGAACTTTTATTCTATTCATTTGAAATAAAGTTATTTAAAAAAGTAATTTAATCTCTTCGCTAATTGATGGGGCATTTTGCTTCTGATTACCTCTTAAATAATTTATTTTGTTATCAAATACTTGCTAAAATAAAAAACAGAAATGCACAAACAACGTCGCAACACTCCAGTCATGTCCGTGATGCACTCCGTCAAAAACACAACTTCACTAAAACGAATAGTTTTTTACAGTGGTTATAAAACGTCTTCCAGTATGGATGAAGATTTTAACAATTTTGATGATCTGTTCAATTATCAAGTTAGACTATATATTCTACAATGATGTATTAAAATCATATATTTAACAAATTTTTTATGAAATTGCCTCCAGATTAGAGAATCAATATCAGAGTCATGCCTGCCTTTCCAAAGACAATACTCTTTTTCCAATCTTGCTCCATATGCCAGTCCTGAAATATCTGAAATTGGATCGCCGCCAAAATGCACTTTCGACGCCAACCACAAATTAGGAAATTCAATTTCTTCTAATGCAAGACGCCACAGCAGTTTATCATCTCTAGAATCGACAAGTTTTGAGACATCTTTTTCAGCAATTAAAGATCTGACGCTGAAACCCGAAGAACGATGTGTCAAGTTAGAAGCACTCCCGACACGAAAGCTATCTATAAAATCTCCAGCATTTTTAATAGTACCTGCAGTGAAACCAAGATCGCCGAGTTTCCAGCAATACTCATTGGCACGATTTTCATCAGCATCTGGTCAGACTCCTTTACAACGAAGCTCTCCAAAACATTCCCTTCCACAATCCAGAATCTATCAACAAAATCGTTCACCACAGTTCTCAGCAACTTACAACCCTAGACAGTCTCACGCTAGAAGGATGACTGAAGTATTAAAAAATTCAGAAAACGAGATGGCAAAGGATGTGGCACATCTGCGGCGAGGTTGTCACAACTTTCAACTTTTCATTTTTATTTTTCATTTCGAATATTGTTTTTTCAATTTCAAATTTTGACAAAACTTTTCAATGGTTCAGTGAGTATGCCTAACCAGCCAACAAATAAGAAAAAAAGAAGTAAGGAATATTCCGATGTCCCAACTAGACAAGACCCAAGTGATTCGGCGAAATCAAAGAGAAGAAAATGGCTTCAGCAAATGATCCGATCAAAAAAGAAGACATTTGGTAAAATTTAAATGTAGCCGCAATTTGGTACACAATATTAACAATAGAAATTAAAACGGTTTATTTTGTTCGATCAAACATTTTGCGCTTTTTATTGTACGGCCATTTGTGTCTGTTTCAAATTATTAACTCATTTAATAACTTTTTGTTTGTTTTTTATTTAACTGACAAATTAATTTTTATAAGCTAATGATACATTATTCAATTTTTCCAACAGGTTGTTTTTTTAAAATAAGAAAACTGCTTCAGCGATTTGTAGACAGCAAGTACTTCCAACGGGGCATTTTGCTGGCAATCCTCATCAACTCCATCAGCATGGGCATAGAACACGATAAACAGGTTAGTAGCATTTACTTCCATCTTTTATCCGTTTTTATCATTTTTTGATTATTTGCTCTTTTATATTCAATTATTATTTGATATCAACTTTTAAACGTTAGTATTTTTAAAAATTAGAATTGTTAACAATCGATTGTTTTTTTTTTGTAGTCAAATAGATATTTATAACGTGACATTGATCAACCGTAAAATATTCATTTGCTGAAAAAACACAACCCAGCAGTGCAGAAATAAAAAAAAGAGTTGTGCCACGAAATTTACACGATGAATATTTCATCAGATTGCGCGTCGTTACTTTGATTTATAGCGAAATGGTTGGCGGTTCGCGACCGGTCTTAAAGTTTCATTACGAGATCCGCATGTTTGTCTCCTCTGTCTGTCGCCTCCGCAATTCAAACTGTTGTTTGCTCTTATTTTATCTTTTCAGATATTTTCATAATTTTAAAAAATGTTTGATTTAATTTTAGTTTAAATGTCTTTGTAAGAAAGAAAAAGTCTAATAATTTACCATTTATTTACTCTATAATAACAAATAAATCATAAAAAAGTGTTTTTCAAATTATTGACTAGTTAATAACTAGATTTAATACTAAAATTTTTTTCGAACTTGTTGGAGAAATAATTGTTGTTTGTAGGGCAGATGGAAAATAAGATTGCATACAGTCAAGCAAATCTTAATGAAAGGTACGTATGATGAGTTGTGACGATGCATAATGCGTCGTGAAAGATAAGTTACATTTATAACGGAAGCTATCAGCCCGATGCCTGCCTCGTCGTTAAAAACTAATCAAATTGTTGTTTGTTCAGGTTCATCATTTTTAATGCTGATTTTTGTTTGTTTGTGTGCTATGTAACGTTTCGATGTAACAGAACGTTATGAAGTTTAATCCCCAATCGCGTTCATAGTTTGTAAATTTAATTTTATTTCGTGTGCAAAATATATACCATATATATATATATATATATATATATATATATATATATATATATATATATATATATATATATATATATATATACATATATATATGG